TTTAATGTCAAAATGATCTTCCTCAAGTACAAGTCATCCTGTTGTTTGACTTCTCAGTAGGTGAGGGAGGGGCTGGAGAGAGAGAGAATTTGGAACTCAAAACTTTTCTAAAAATGAATGTTTAAAAAGGGGGAGTAAAAAATGTGAGCTTCCTGAGAGCACGGACTGTCTTAATTTTCTATTTGTATCTCCAGTATTTCAATCACAATGCTATGACATAGTTAGTACTTCATAAATGCCTCTTTCATTTATTTTAAAAAATGAAGTACAGGTCAGACCATATTACCCTCTCTACTCAATGAACTTTAGTGGCTCCATATCAAATCTAGGATCCAATATAAAATCCTCTTTTGGCTCTTAAAACTCTCCATAATCTGACATCTTCCTTCCCAGTCTTCTTATACATTGAGCTCTTTCTTGAATTAACTACTCCATCTTCCAGCTCTGGACATTTTCACTGGCCATTCCTCATGCCTGGAATTTTCTTTCTCTTCGTCTCTGCTCCCCTGACTTCTTTCAAGTCCCAGCCAAAATTCTACCTTTTACAGGACTTTTCCTGATCCCCCTTAATCCTAGCACTTTCTCTTTGTTGAATATTTCCACTTTATACTGTGTTTAGCTTGTTTATGCCTAGATGTTAACATGTTGTTTCCCCATTATACTGTGAACTCCTTGAAAGTTGGAGCTGTCTTTGCCTTTCTCTGTCTCTCTAGTACCTGACACATAGTAGGAACTTAATAAATGTCTCTTGACTGACTCCATTGTCTTTTACAGTAAAAGGATATAATGGGAGGAGGAGAGTGAAAGCAATGCCTCTTAAAATTGACACAATTTAGGACCGTAGCATCAAAAGTTGTAAGGAATCATCTAGGTTATATAATCCAAACACCTCATTTTACGGAGAATAAAGTCTCAGAGAAGTTAAAGGACTTACCCAAGGTCACTCAAGTGTGTAAATGTAGTGCCAAGATTTCAGCTCAGATCTTCCAACTCTGAATCCTTTGCTCTTTTGATTCAGGACTTTTTAATCTAGATGTTCTCATATGTAAATGATTAAGATTTGACACTATACCCTTTTTGAGACAAAAATCTTTAGCAAGTCACTTGAAACTGTTTTGTGCCTCAGTTTCTTCCTCTCTGAAATAAATGGTTTGGACTCAATGCCAATCTAAAATGGAGGCCAGTTCTAAGTCCTACCAGGGGTGGGAAACCTGCAGCCTTGAGGCCACATGTAGCCTTCTAGGTCCTTCAGTGCAGCCCTATTTGGATTCAGTCAAAGAGGCACACTTGAGGACCTAGAGGGCCACATGTGGCCTCGAGGCTGCAGGATACCCACCCTGTAATCTACATTGACATTTAAGATTGGTACCCACTTGAGAAAAAGAGAACTAGGTTTGCTTGATAAATATTGGGCACATGAATTAAGCTATACCATATCTCCCCCTAAATGTCTTTATGAAAAGGATAGTCATACTTGGGGTCCCCTCACATCCTGCTCTCTAAAGTGAAGAGCATTGTTAGATATCAGACAATGGCTTTCAAAATATCTTTTAAAGTTTCCTAAAAAGTGCACAATGCTCTTGTAAGACCGGTGGTGGTGGCCTTCCTGCCAGCCCTGACATGTCTCTTTGCTAATTAACTGAACATTAAAGCTCATTAATGATGTTAAAATATAGTATAAGTAGAAGCTTCTGCCCAGCCGCATCAGTCTAAGGGATACTGTCCCATTTCAAAGGAAATGAAAAACAGCCAAGTGAAATGAAATTCTTCTGTCTTTAAAGTTGTGGGATTCACTAAGTGCTTTGCTATTGTGTTGATTTAATTATAAGAATGATTGAGCCAGAGCACAAAGAATGAGCATGAGCTTAAAAGAACTCTTTTGGAGAGGTACATTAGAATGTGGAATTTTAGCTGGAAGGAACATCTCACGGCTAAAAGAAGTGATAGAATAGAATGCTAGGGCTGGAAAGACCTTGGAGCACAGAATGTCAGAACTGACACATACCTTACAATATCTAATGGCAGAGTTGGAAGAACATTGGAACAAATAATGTAGAATATTATAGCTTTGAGAGACCTTAAGACATAGAATGTCACAACTAGAAAGGACATAAAGACCTACAACATGCAAAATTCAAGCTGGAACATATCTTAGAACCTTGAATGTTAGCCCTGGTAGGCATAGGAGTGCATTGAGGGTGGCCCAGATGTGTAGATACATCATGGAATGAGCATTATTCTTGACCTTTCCTCTGAGAATAGCTCCAAGTCACATCCTGCTCATACCTAAAGTGATAGGGGCCTTAGAAATCACTTTGTGAGATATGTAATGTGTATGTAAAAGATAATAATCCTGACTTTCCTATGTACCCGTTTGTGCATGTGATGAGTGAGAGGAGCCTTGGTTGGTGGAGAAGACATACTGGCTCATTGTTTATTTGTTTGTTTACATTTGTTTACAAAGGAGCAGCTTGTAGGACCAGTAAAACCTGGGTTCAGGTCCTGTTTCTGTCACATACTGGCTTTGTGACCATGGGCAATTCACTTAATATCTCAGTCTTCTGGGCAACTCTCTAAGACAGATACTGCGAAAGAAGGCAGTGAGCATTTACTAAATATTTTCAATGTTCCGGGTACTGTGGTAAGCAACTGGGTATCAATCAAAAATACAATAAAAAAGAAAGACAGACAATTGGTAGAGGGAGGGAGTTGCCTAACCCAAAAGTTTCCTGTTGTTGTTGCGTCGTTTCAGCCATATTTGACTATTCATGACCGCATTTGGGGTTTTCTTGGCAAACATACCGGAGAGGTTTGCTGTTTCCTTCTCCAGCTCATTTTACAGATAAGGAAACCGAAGCAAACAGGGTTAGGTGACTTGCCCAGGGCCACACAGTTAGTAAGTATTCGATGTTGAATTTGAACTTGGGTCTTCCTTACTTCAGGCTTGGTGCTCTGTCTACTATATAACCTAGTTGTCCTAAAAAGTTCTCTCTATTACTAAAATTTTAGGTCTAGTCACTATCCCTTAATTTGTAGATGAAATCTCTCCCCAAACTAATAATAACAATAGCAATAATTTGTCCCCCCAAAAAACAATTTGTATTACCTGTTTTTTATATAGATGTTTCCTAAAATTTGAATGTCATTGGAATGGCAGTGATTGTCAACTTGATAGTGAAGCTATTAATTATCTGTACACTATACAGGGCAAGAAATTGGTGTCTTAAAATAACTGCCATTTGGCTAGTATTTTAAAGTTATCAAAATGCTTTATATAACCAACCTCCTTTAAGCCTCACAACAACCCTGTGATGTAGGTACCGTACACGACGTAGTAAAAATCTGAAACTGTTTTTTCACTCATGCCTGACTTGAATTTAAGAAGCAGCACCAAAGATTTTATTGAAGATTCACATGAGCAGTCATGTAGCAAAAATAAGAAATATAAAATGGAGCACTTGATTATTACTTTGACATACTTAAGATCTTAAAAGAACCATAGGAACGCCTCCAAAAAAAGTGGGTGGATTTTTATAGGGGATTTATGGGAAAATCTCAAAAATATTCTTATCAAATGGCAAGGTATCTCATCAGGCCAAAGGACTGGCCAGTGAATTAGTCTGACCTGTAAACAAGAGAGTAGTATTGTCTTTGGAAAATTACAAAACTTTCTCAATGACCCTCAGTTTCTCCCTGAAATGAAGACCATCATTTTTAGTACCGGTATTCTACAGGTGGGGTTGTATGGTTATGAGTGATAGAAAATTAGATCTCAAAAGAATTAAAAGCGAACATTACTCAGAGGATGTTGGAGAGGCACATACATGTAGGGAAATAAAAATCACATGCCCCCTGCCTTTTATGTTGAGAATATACAAAGATGAATTAAGACCTTTGACCTTGTCCTGAAAGATCTAATTGCTCAGTAGTGGTGATAAGAAATGTGCATAGATGAATGCAATTCAGTAGAATATAATAACGGGGAGAGGAAAGGAAAGAAACCAGCATGTGCCAGGCTCAGTGCTAAGAATTTTACAAATGTTACCTAAAATGTCAACAGTTCAATGGAACCTCACAGATAGAGCCAGTGTAGTAGATGAAATAGCTCTGGCCTTGGAGTCAGAGAACCCAAGTTCCAGTTCTGTCTCTGCTACTTACTATCTGTATGACCTGGGAAAGTAATTTAACTTCATTGGGCCTCAGTTTCTTCATCTGTAAAATAAGGTAAGTTCCCTTCTAGCTTTAGACCTAGGACCCAAAGATCCAAAAAATTGATTTGCCTTTCAAGGGGTCAGATGTCAACAAATCCATGTCTTCTTAGCGTATGTGGCTCTTACTTATATCTTTCCATAGCATATCATGTTGGAAGCCTTCAGTTTTGCTTTTAAAATATTATAGACTATACAATATTAAGATTAGTGAAAGGAGAGATGACTTCTAGGTATAAGACTGGAGGCAGGTTTTATAGAGGAGGGAGAATTTGGGCTGAATCTTGAAGGAGGGATAAGATGTCAACAGGTAGAAATGAGGAGGAGAAGAAAGGGCATTCTAAGCCTAGAAAACACTCTCTCTCTGAGGGTCCATTGAACTATTAATGTATGAAATAATGTTTGTAAAATGCTTATCATGGTGCCTTGTACATAGTATGCACTAGGAAACATCAAAGTGAAAAGCACCAAGGTGGGAAAATGCTTTCTTGGTTTATTTCTTTACAACTCTTCAAATTACCTATCAAAAACTATTCTGGTTTAGAAATTCAATGTTACCTCAAGTCTTCCAGGAATCACGCTGTATACATTTTGTAAAATACTGTGTCAAGAGAATAGTCTAACAATTTAAACTTCTACTCTGTAATCTTGATCACAAATGTTCAGTCCCTGTTGTTTAAAATCTGTTTTGAAGACACTTCTTTTTTCAGCTTAAAAATCTGGCTTTTCCCCCAGTGAATAGAATGCAATGCTGGTTATTACTCCATGTTAATGTTTCTCTTTTAACTGCAGGTCTATGAAAAGGTGGCTTATTTCCTCACCAATTTAGGTAAGTGCTTGGTTATTATTGCATTCACAATAAACTATTTAACAGAATGGATCGTGTAACTATAGTTTTTTTTCTATTATGAGGACATTTTGATTTGATTGCTTAGCACTGAAGAAATCCGCTTGCAGCCCCCCTTTAAGGCATGGGTCACAGATACTCAGTATCAGTTCACTTTGTTTCCATCGGCAAAGATGTTTCAGGCCTGGTTTGGGGTTTTAGTCACTCTTTCTAACTGCAAAAGGACCAAAGGAGGGATTCAGTGGGAGAGGGGAGTGAGGTGGGAGCAAACATTCATAATGGAAGCCCAGTCTAGGTCCCTAAGTGATTTCTATACCCCATGGTCTCTTTAGAATCATCGTGACCTATGAAGGTTCTCTCCTCCTGGTGCTGTTACTACCTTGATCATTTTAGGCCTCAGTTTCTTCATCTGTAATAGATTTCCCCATTGCTGAAATAAGCACATGGCGCTGCAAACAGGAGGTGCTTAAGTGTTGTTGCATGTTATCTATTGAAAGAGGTGAGGGATAGAATTTGATGACCACTGTAGTTCAAGGACCCATGACCTAGACATGATTAACATAGTATTAACAGCCACGGATATCTTACAGCCTCTTGGGATCCTTACTGTACTTTGAGGTGGTGGGAATAGATGAGAGGCAAGGAGAAAGAAAACAGACCTCAAAGTCAATGAGGCAGGTTCAAAGGCCCCCTCTGACGCCTGTACCAACAGGTTATATGATATTGGGCAGTCACATACTTCCTAGTTAGTAAGTTACAAAACCAGAGCATATGAGCTTTGAAGAAGGGGAAGGGGGGAAAGAAGGCAGTACATATTAGCGCTTTACAAATATTCCATTCTCACAACAACTCTGCGAGGTCGGAGAGAGCTGTTGGCTCAGTGGATGGGGCGTTGGGCCTGGGGTCAGAAAGACCCAAGTTTAGTCTGGCCTCAGACACTTGCTAACTGTGTGACCCTGGGCAAGTTACTTAACCTTTGTTTATCTCAATTTCACCAACTATAAAATGGGGATAATAAAAGCTTCTACCTGGGATAGTTGTTGTGAGGCTCAGATGTGACATCTGTGAAAAACAAATGCAGTTGAGCACAGTGCCTGCTCCGTAGTAGGGACAATATAAATGCTTATTCCTTTTCCTTGTTCCCCTCTCCAATACTGATAAGCTACAGTTCTACAACTTGGAGTCTTAAAGAATCTATCAGAGGGCTTATCTCACAGGGTTATGGGAAGGATGAAATGAGATAAAATTTATAAATATTTGCTTAAGAAAAAAATAACCAGCATAGTACCTGGCACATAGTAGGCACCACATAAATGCTTGTTTATATGCCAGAGGTGAAATTAGCTTAGGCTTGGAATGATCAGATTGTGAGTTTGTCAAAAATATGAAACTCTTTAAGTAGAGGTTACAATTCCCTACCTTCAGCCCTTGAGGAGGAAAAAAATAGCCCTCCCAGATTTCATGATTCTATGGGATTCACGCCCCAGAGTGAAGCTTGTACTAGATGAATTCAAAGAACCCATCCACCCAGAATCATCCAAGAATAAATAAAGCTCCTGCAATAACCACTGTTCCACCCACTCTGGGCTAATTAACAATTTGATCATTCCAGGCCTATGCTAATTTCACTTCTGGCTTAGTTTCGCCTTCATTAAATAACGCTCAGTTTGGGGATTTGGGTGGGTTGAGAGAACTGTCTAGTTTTTTTGGTCCAAACACTTTTTTTTTTTCTTTGTGGAAACCATAAAGGGGAAAGGAAACAGAGCCTTGATTCACTTTTCTGGAGATCTTTTCTTTAGAGTATGAAGAAAAGATTTTTGCTCTCTGGCATAAGGGGCAGAGTTTTTGTGGGTCATTCATTTATCCCACATAATGGATTGTAGAAATTCTTTTGCCTCTGATGAAGCTGAGCTCTTCCTAACAAGTCAGAGTGATTTAGTAACTATAGCTATTCAGTCAGAGAGGACAAAGTAACCTCACTATAAATGCTTCTTGATTGATTGATTGAAGGTGACGGACCCAGCTTATTCCTTCTTTAAAGAGCACTTTTCTACTAATCCCACAATGGAAACAAGAGCCTGACCTGGGTCTGGATGTCCTGATAGTAATGCCTGACATGGATCAATCATATTTTGAGGAGACTTACAGTATGAAAGAAGAAATCTTCTGGCCAAGAACATAGCTGTTTTGCCTTTCCCAATCCATGGGCATATCCTCTGACCTCATGGATTATGAAAGTCCCAGTTCCCAGTGAAATTGGCAAATTCTCCTTCCATAAACCTCAGCTGTCTGGCAACCAATACCAGTGATGCCCTCAACTATTCCTTTCTATTACTTATTTTAAATAACTATTATATGGTGTTGTGTTTTATTAAAAAAAAAATGAGGTAAGAATTCCAGCCATTTACAAGTGGGACGAGTCAGAAAACAAAGGTAATCATCAGCCAGCCCTTAAAATCATGGAATCATAGGTGTAGAGCTGAAATATCATTAGATAGTTTCTACCTCCCTCAAATAAAAACAGAGAAAAGAAACGGCTTACTTATCCAAGGTCACAGGAAGAGTTAGTGACCCAGACACCAGTAAAATTCAAGACTTCTAATTCCCAGTATGATACTATTTCTTCTTTAAATTTTCTTTTAAATAGTTTACTGATGTTTGTATATGTAATATACATTTTTACAAATACATATATATATTATACACAATATGCATACACAAGTATGTATATTATAGGTGTGTATGTACACATGCATGTATATACAAATATGTATAATGGGTGAAAATATGTGTGTATGCATTGCTTATGCATGTATACATAGCTGTATATGCATATATATTATATATAAGCATCATTAATATATTTATAAATAAAATATATACTTGTGCATATATGTATGTATGTGAACTCAGGTCATCCTTACTCCATGCCCGGCATTTTATGCACCGCATCACCTAGCTGCCCCCATTTGTTACTATAGTCACTTATAAATGTTGACTATTAAAAATGGGTATGTGATGGCTTCTTTTAAATAATCATCTTTATTAACTAACTGTTAAACTTCCTTGATAATTCTGAAATGCTCTAAATGTTAGTGCCCTGGGACAGTCTTGGCTGTCCTACCCTTGTTATTAAGCTCCCTTTTACTTCTGATATCCAATTTCACAAATATTTATTAAGCTGCTACCACGAGCACAATGCAGAGCAAAAAAGATAATTCAAAGTTTAGGTCAAAAACAGAGCCTGGCCTGAAGGGGCTTACAGTCTCCTGATAATTAACTTTCTCTATTTCTGTGATTGGCTACTCTTGATCCCACCGTAGCACTGATATGTGGAGCATGGGGAAAAGGGGGATTGAAACTTTCCAAAATTAGAGACCTTGATTTTCCTGTTTGACTGAAGTTTTGAAAAAGATAGAAATAATAGAATGGGAGCCTGTGCTCCTGTAAAGGGTGATAGGTAAATATTTAACAATAAAATCATTTCCTGGGGTCATTAATGCCAGAATTCTTTCCACAAAGAGCCAGCAAACTGAGGGCTTCCATTTAAGTGTTGTTCCCTTAAAGAAAATAGAGTGAAGAGGTTTTCTGTTCTTCCCTCTAGTTTCTGAAAATTCTCTTGGCTTTTTTCTGAAGGATCTTTTTTTTTTAATGGTCTACTGAAAACTGCTGAAGCTATTGAGGGAAAAGGAACATTGAGGCCTTCAAATGTTATCTTCAAATATGTGAAAGATTATCACAAGGAATAGCATTAGATGTATTCTGCTGGGCAGTTGGAGCAGTAGATGGAAATGACCAGAGTTTGGAAGGAAGCACAAACAAACAGGGCAGCTTTGAAAATAACATGTTGAATTTATTCTATACATATATTTGCATGTTTTAAAAACAGAAAAAAATATGTAGTAGAGATTTATGGTTTCATAGATTTTCTGATCTTTGCATATAGAAATGAAATTTTTATGTTTATTAGGTAAGATGTAAATCAGTATGGACTGGATAGAGAGCCAGTCTTGGAGACAAGATGATCTGAGTTCAAGTTGTCCTTTTGACACACATTGGCTTTATATCAACAGACAAGTCTTTGAAACTCAGTGAACTTTCTATTTGTCTAAGTTACCAAGGAGGTGGTAATCATCATCAGTGGAAGAAGTTTCCATACCATGAGTTCCCCAAATTGATAAAATCACACGTACAGACCAAATAAGTAAAAAGCGACAAAAATGAGGAAGATGTAGATAACAATTAAAATGACCCAACAGTACAAGAAAATGTTTTCGGGGATCATCACCTGCCACCGGGTATTCAGGTGGAGGCCATATGAATACCCATTAGGAATGCCATCAAAGAGAGTTATGCTTCACTTGAGGGTTTGACTAAATGGCCTTGAAGGCCTCTTCTAATTCTGAGATTCGGTGATAATGATGAGAATTCTAACACCTGCCATGTGTCTCGATCAGAACATGTAACCCACCCTCTGCTGTTCCTTTTAGAACAGCCTAGAACAGAATTGGAATGGGAGAACAGCTATGCCCTAAAGATGTTCCTCTTTCAGTTCGTCAACTTAAACAGCTCCATCTTCTACATTGCATTTTTCCTGGGCAGGTAAGTCGCTCACACACACGCAGTGATTCTGGCCAAAGCAAAAGTCTCTTTCCTCCCTCCATTCCCCCCGCCAAAGAAAAGGCCCTTTTCTTCTTTCTTATAGAATGGCCCATTTGTGTTAGGAGCCAACGCAGTGCTTGGGATTGAGAGTCGCACAGTCTTAAAGATGAATGTTCTTTTTCCAGCCTTGTATTTCTCTTTGTGTCCATCCTTGAAAGCGGGGATCACACCATTCATTGTACATATAGAGCAAATGCCTAGTGCATCACCTGGCACACATAGTGAAATATCTCCAACTGGAAGCCTATCTTCTCGTTTTTATTACTGTTGTTATTGTTGCTGCTGATAAGCACACAGCACTCAGTAAGGGAGGGATCTGGGAACTGTACAGTTTGGTCATTTTCTTTGCCACCTGTGGGCCACTGCTTTGGTTATGGTTGGGCTCAGGGGCACCATCCAAACATCTGCATGAAGACCAGGGAGAGCAGTCATCCAAATGTGCCATCTGTGCAGCACAACACACACGGATTGGGGGAGAACATCTGGAAGATAGCTCCCATAGGAATAAAACATCTGTTAATTTTCCATCCTTTCTCTTTTGTTTTATTTTAAGCAAGTTATTTGCTTAAAATAATTATTTTAATATTTCTATATTAGTAAATATAATTCATATATTTAATATATTTTAATAATTCTGAGGTGTAAATTAACTCTAGTGATACAAATGAAATATGAAACCACCTCTGCCTTCAAGTAGTTTTCATTCTACTGTGATCAATGCCTTAGTCTTACTCTGTTAGAATGTCAGTTCCTTGAGAATAGGGATTGTTCCTTCTCTGTTTCATATTCCCAGTGCCTTCAGAGTCAAATGAATGTTTGTTGATTGACTGATATAAACAAAACCAAAATAAAACATTTGGGGAGTAGTTTTTGTCAATAAACCTTTTTTTAAAAAATAATCTTCATTTCTACTCTTTTGAGGTAGCCTCTTTGATTCCCAACGAATTTTAATGAATTGGAAATTTTCTTTTTTATAGGTTTTCGGGACGTCCAGGAAAATACAATAAACTTTTTGACCGATGGAGATTGGAAGAAGTGAGTATCTGAGGGTGATGTATTTAGCTGACATGAGAAAAGAGAACTACAGGATTATAAATGAAGGAGTAGCTTGGGGCATAGAAAGAAGTACTGAACTTGGTGTTCAAGATATCTGGGTTTGAATCCCAGCTCTGATGGTTCCTAGCTGGTGGCTATACGTAACTGAGTTAATCTCTCTTACCTTCACTTTGCTCCATAATAAAACTGATGATGATGTTTATGCTAATTACCTTACAAGGGCATTGAGAGAAAAGCCCTCATATCTCACCTCTGCCACTTGTGCCTGAATGACTGTGGGCAAGATATTGAATCTCCATGAGCCTCAGTTTCCTCATTTGTAAAATAAGAGTTGGAGTAGTTGACTTCTGAGGTCCTTTTTATCTCCAAATATTTGATCCTATGATCCTAAGTCTTAAAAAGCTCCATGTAAATGTGAGTTTTGATTATAAATGTGTGCTAACAGCTAGACTTTCTGGTATTTGTTCATCAAAGCATCCCTTGGAGAAAAATAGAGACCAGGAGGTAAAGTGCCCATCACCAATAGATCTCTGGCCTTCAGCAGTCATAGGTTTAGAACTGGAAGGAACCTTGAAGTGCATCAAAACTGGCCCTCTCATTACAGAGATGAGGAAGCTGAGTGTCCTGTCTCCTAGAAGTAGAAGGATTTGCTCCAAAGCAGGCAGATATTAAGAATCAGGGTCAGGATATGAATGTAAGGCCCGTAACTCCAAATTCCATGCTTTTTCCTCTGTACCACACTCTCTCTAATATCAGAATCAAAAACAATTGAGAAACTTCAGGCGTTCTTCCCATGAATTGGCAAATATAAAGATAAGGTGACCTCAGAGAAGGTCCTTGTCATTCGTGGAACAGCTTCCACACTCTGGAGCTCCTGAGGGGGAGCCGCATTTCTAATGCAATTCCATGAACCTACTGAAAATAAATAGCTATTTTTACTGGTAGGCACTAATACGGTACAACAGGTTTTTCTAGATCTTTTAAACTGATAGAATTAACCTCACCCTAATGCAAATGCACTGTTGCATATCTCCAGAACTAAAGATAAAAACAGTTACCTGGAGCCACTCCGATTTCATGCAGGTGTTCCAGAGTCCTCCAGAAAGTGACCAGAATCCTCAGGGAGAGCCTGCCAGAACCGGTCTTCCCAGTTCTTCAGAGATGATTCTGATATTGTGAACCAACCCCTAGCACGCTTCGTTGTGGTTTTGCTGAATGACCCCCAAACAACATCATAGTTTCAAACGTGAGGGAGGGGACCTAAGAGGCCATCTAATCTAACCCCTTCATACTATAGAAAAGAAAACTAAGGTCTGGATTACTGAAATGACTTATCCCAAACCACACAACTAGAAAGTGGCTCACTTGGAATTAGAACCTAGACCTTCTGACTACAAACGTTTTATTGTTAGTGCCATGGATATGCCAAGAAAACCCATGCCCATGACTACTGAAAGATTAGCCCTCTAGCACCCACCCAGTTTATAATTGAAGGGCATTCCCTAGCCCATGATCTCTCTCTCATCAGGAGTTAGTAGGGGGCCAGGTTGGGAACTGAGCTGATTAAGGACAGATAGATGCCTGCCTATGAACTTCATCTGGCTTAGGGGTTCATTCTGCTAATACCTTGAAAATTACAGCAACGTGCTCACTTTTAAGATAGAATGATATGCGGATAGAGCACCGGCCCTGGATTCAGGAGGAACTGAGTTCAAATCTGGCCTCCGACACATAACACTTACTAGCTGTGTAACCCTGGGCAAGTCACTTAACGCCATTGCCTAGCCAAAAGAAAAAAAAGTATAGAAGAATGTATAAAGGCCTTCTTAAAACTATTATAAAATCACACAGAGTTATTCAAAAATAATGGGCACTCACAAAGAAGCGCATTAGAGGTTTTTGTTTCATAATAAAATAAATATGATGGGAAACATGACATGTTGGACAAAGGACCAGGTTCAGGGTTAGGAAACCCTGCATTCAAGTCCTCTGATACATACGGTCTGTGTGAGCCCTGGTCATGGGAAGCTCTCTGAGAAGCTAAGGTGCAAAAGAGTTACTGATCTGCATTGATAGAAGGCTCTCCCTCCAGGGGGAAATGAAATCATAACTCCATTTCAATCTAATGAGACAATTGTGTGTTGGATCATTGGGTCTAAAGGGGAAAGAATTAAGCCCTGAGGATGATGCTCTAGGAGACATGGTCATTGTATTATTGTTAATTGTTCATTCATTTCATTCATGTCCAACTCTTCATGACCTCATTTGAGGTTTTCTTGGCAAAGATACTGGAGTGGTGTGCCATTTCCTTCTCCAGCTCATTTTACAGATGAGGAAACTGAGACAAACAAGGTTAAGAAACTCGCCAGGGTTACACAGCTAGTAAGTGTCTGAGGCCAGATTTGAACTCAGGAAGATGAGTCTTCCTAACTCCAGACTTGGGGCTCTGTGCACTATGGCGCCACCTAGCTGCCCTGTTGTTATTAGTTTTGCTCATCAGTTTTACTTTGTTACAGGATACCTCTGCAGTCTGGAGAACACTGTAAATGTTTGCAATATAAAACCAAAACACATCAATAAAGTTGAAAGTGTTTTAAAAAAAAAACTCTAGGAGAAATGCTTTAAAAGCCAGTTTTTACACTGGCAGTTAAGAGTTGGGTTTTAATTATTTTATGCCTTAAAGTGCTAGTTATCTTGAACAATTTAGGTTTTTTATGTTTCTTTTTTAATATCTTTTGAATTAACTGCCTATTCAAGTTTTTATTCAGTTATTTGAATGTCCTGTAGACCCAGACTAGGCCATGATGATAATGATAATGCTGGTGGTAATTAACATTTATATAGTGTTTTAAAGTTTCCCGTACAGTGTCTCATTTGATTCTAATAATGCCCTTGTCAAGTAAGTGCCAGAGCAGTGATCTGCAAACGTTTTTGATTACGTGCTTCATTAGTAGAGGTAATATATATGTGTGTGTGTATGTATATACACATACACATAACCTTTTTTGTTCCAATGAGCAATATGGTTAAATGGGCTTCATTATTTTCGAAAAAGCTTCATGAATGCCCTGGGCCCTTTTCGTTGTTTAATTGTTTTCAGTCACATCCAACTATTCATGACCCCATTTGGGGTCTTCTTGGCAAAGACGCTGGAGTGGCAAATGAGGAAGTTGAGGCAAACAGGGTTAAGGGACTTGCCCAGGATTGCACAGCTAGTAAGTGCCTGAGGTCAGATTTAAGGTCTCCTTTACTCCAGACCTGGAATTCTATCTACTGAACCACCTAGCTGCCTCTCCTGGTACCTGGCGAAGACTTATAGAGAATAATTATTTGTTAGCAATTAATCATTCGATTATTTTTACCAATGGGGCTAGCCAAACAAAATTTTTTTTCTTAGTTTTTTTTTTTTAAATTGAAAGAACACAGTATGAAAATAAGTCGTAACATGTAGTGAGTATAATAGCTGTTTAGCAGGAGTCAACTTTCTCTTTGGGAAGATACTCAACAAACATACAGAAACAGTGAATTGTCTCTGATGTCAATGCAGCAGGAAGTATTTTTTAAAATATACGTCCCTTCTTCTTTGTGTGCTCCTGCTTAATGGATGGTAAAATATCTTCGGGTTTTTTTATTCATGTTTGGGTTTTTTTAGTTGTGTCTTTGTATGAGTGTGAGGAATAGCAGGAAAGCAAATTTGACTTGACCAGAAAGTGCACGAAGGGGGGCATCAAGTAAAATAAGTTTGAAAAAGTAGGTTGAGGTCAGATTGTGAAAGCTTTCCAGTGACAGGGGTGCTTATCTTGGATACTAGAGGTAATAGGGAATCATGGGATTTATTCAGGAAAGGGTGACAGGTCAGACGTGTTCTTCAGGAAAATTACTTTAGCAGGTTGTGAATGATGGAGAAATTTGAGGCAGGAAAACCAGGCAAAAAGTGATGTGGGTCTGAACCATAGTGGTGTCTATATGAGTGGAGAGAAGGCGGGAGAGATATGAAATATACTGTAGAGTTTTGTTTTGTTTTTTTAAATATAAAAAAACTGCTTGGGTGGATGACGTGAGTGAAAACAAGGAGTCTAGAGTGACAGGTTGTAAACCTGGGTGACTAGAAGGACCTTGACAGAAATAGCAAGATTTGGAAGAGTCATGAGCTTAGAGGGAAAGATAATGTTATGTAATAGGTGATGTAGTTCATAAGCCATTCATAGCTGTTCATCCTGAGTGGTTTCTTCTGTCCCACCAAAATTGTAAAAGAGGGCAGGAAAGGCTCTTATTCATGGGCATCAGAGCTCAGAGTACGTCCTCTGAGGGGACCCTGCCACTATCATTGGATGATCTGGTGTTCAGAAGGGTGGTTATCTTGGGGGAGTGGATGAATTTTCCTACACAGCTGCTTCATGGGTACCCAGGTGATGAATGCCTTGAGGGGCCACTCTCAGTGAAGATGGGGGTAGATTGGATCCTGGCCAAACAGAGTAATAATGAATGAAATGCATGTGCACTTGTATTGGAAACAAAGCCATGACTGACTATCGCAGGAGGCTGTGGCCCCCACTTTTGAGACCATTGCACAGGTATTATTATTATTATTATTATCCCCATTTTACAGATGAGGAAATTGAGGTTAAAGGAAGCTAAGGGACTTTCCCAGGATCACACAAGTAAAGTCCAAAGTGAGATTTGAACCTCTTTCTCTCTGATTCCAAACCCATCACTTTACTATGCCTTAATGGTGGCAATTCATGATGAAAAAGGAGACTCTTTCTAAATTTCTCATGATGCCATTAGAAGTTCTACAAACATTACTGCCACGTAGCTCTCCTTCAAACAGCCTGTTTAGTAGTCATGCAGTTATTATTTTTGTCATCATCATTAATAATAATGATAGGAAGCATTTCTATAACACTTAAGGCTTGCAAAATGCTTAAATATTATATTACTTTACCTCCACAACGCCCCTGGGAGGTAGGAACTGTTATTATCCTCATTTTAAGGATGAGGAAACTGAGACAGAGAGAGGTCGAGAATCTTGCGGTCAGCAAATGTCTGAGGCTGGATTTGAACTTAGACCCTTCTGACTTCAGATCCAGCTTTCTATTATTCATTGTGCCACGAAGTGAATGACCAGGACCCATTAGATAGAACTATGGCACAGACTGGCTTGCACTCCTCCCTCATCCCTTTTCTTCTCCATGCTTGTTTTGTATTCTTCACCTTTCTCTTACCTGCCTCCAGATTCCTGAGCCCTTCAATGTAAAGTTTCCAGTCAAAGCCCATGCAAGTCTGCCATTTCTGGACAACAGTTCATGGTACAGCTATCCCCTGATCTGCGTCCCTCCCCACCTCCAAAAAATGTATCCATCTTGAGTCCAATCCTCTTAACATTGTTCTCAATCTTATAAATCAACCCACATTTGTCACTTTGTGGTAGAAAGAAGACCCAACTGACAGCAAATTGGGCCACTCGTTCGGAGAAAGGCAAGGTGGAGGGAAAATTAATGGATTTGGAGTCAGAACAAGTAGGTTCAAATCTGGGTCCTGCCACTTACTAGCCAAGGAGATTGGCCATTCTACAGCCCAGTGTCCTCATCTGCAAAATTCTCTCTAGCTCCAAGGGTTGCACAAGAGGAGTGACCAATGGAGGCAGGTCTTCTTCCCCTGTGTGGCTTTGAGGATCCATGTGACATCCAGATGAGAGAATTAGGCTCTTTGTGTCCCAATTATTCCCTCCTCTTAGAGTCCTAAGACTTGGCAAAGTAGATGAAGGAGTAGATCAAAGCCGAAGAAAAGAACAAAGAAACCATCATCATTTCATTTCTTAGAACATTGGTTCTCATGGAAATGGTCTCAGGACCATTTCTGGAGCTGGGGAGAGGGAAGGACACATGAACCACAGCTCAGATTCACATTTTCATAATGCCCCCAAGCTCAAATCCAGTGCACTGTTCATTATAATTCACATTTCTAAGATGTATTTGTTTCCAAAGCCCCTTCCCTACAAAAGTTTTACAAATAGAGGGAGAGAGTAGTTTAGAGGATAGGATGTTGAACTGGGAATCAGGAAGACCTGCTTTCCAATTCCATCTTACATACTTATTTGGGGGTAGCTAGGTGGCACAGAGGATAGAGCACTGGGCTTAAAATCAGGAAGACTCATCTTCATGAGTTCAAATCCAGCCTCAGACACTTTCTAGCTGTGTCACCCTGGGCAAATCACTTAACCCTGTTTGCCTCAGTTCCCTCATCTGTAAAAATGTGCTGGAGAAGGAAATAATAAGCCACTCTAGTATCTTTGCCAAGAAAACCCCAAATGGTGTCATAAAGAGTGGGACAGGACTGAATAACTGGACGTGAAAAACACTCCCATGACCCTCTACAGCTAACATATTTCTGTCCAGGCTGGGAGGGTGCCTTCATCTCTACCCACTATTCCCTTTCAGCTCCTTTCTTGATTTTGTCTTTTCCCCATTCGAATGTAAGTTACTTGAAGGCAAGAAATGTCTTTCTGCTTTTATTTGTATTCCTAGCATTTAGCACAGTGCCTGGTACATAGAAAGTGCTTAATAGTGTCTACTTGATTCTGATTCAGTTTCCTCATCTGTAAAATAAAGGGGTTGGAGCTAACAGTCTCCAAGGCCCCCTCCACCTTTAAATCTAAAATCCTATAAGGGTTATTGCTTCTTTTTTTGTGGATGAGTATACCAAGGCACCCAGAGGGCACAGGCTCTGATCCATGGTCTTAAGTCTTGCCTGATGTCATGGCACAAAGTACATCTAAAAAGCAAGAACCTGAACCCAAATTTAATGACGCCAAGTCATGTAACCTTTCCTCTGCATTATGCTCTCTCTCCATTGAAGACCAACCAGTGGGTTCACTTTCTTGTCCCTACCAATATTTTTTTTTTCCATCACAATTCTTCCTTAATTTGGAATTTATAACCTGTGAAGTATATTATGGAGAGATCGGACTGATTTTAAGTGGTTCTACAGGACAGAATTAGAGAAGCTACAGAAAGCTCTATTTATTTCAACATGAAGAGGTACTCTTTAGCAATTATAATACCCCAAAAAAGAAAAGTGTTTTTTATAGATCTAGGATAGTTGGAAAATTCACTTGGAAGTCAAAGGCCTGGGTTTGAGTTCTGAGATAAATTATAAAATCATTGCTTTAGAACTGAGAGAGTCCTTAGATAGTTTTACTCCAACCCCTTCACCTTGTAGAATTCCTCAGTTTCCTCATCTGTTAAAAGAGGGGCTAAGAGTATTTTCAGTACATTCTTAAATTGCCTCATGAAGTCATTTTGAGGCTCAAATAAGGTAATGTTTGCAAAGTGTTTTTGGAAACAGTGAAGACTTGTAGAAATTCAAGGTAAGTTCTCCATCACTGAAAGTCATAGAACCTCAGCATTGGAATGGCCTTCAGGAATTATCTCTTTCTACTCAGACTTAAACAGGGATTCACTAGTCTATAACATCCCTGAAAAGGGGTCAGTCAGCCTCTGTTTAAAGGCCTCTAGCAAAAGGAACCTACTCCTTTTTAAGCCAACCCCTTCCTTGTTTAGATAGCTGTAATTTCTAGGAAACTTTTTCTTGTTTATATTGAGTCATCGTTGTCATATCTGACTCTCCATGACCCCATTTGAGCTTTTCTTGGCAAAGATACTGGAGTGGTTTGCCATTTCCTTCTCTAGCTCATTTTACAGCTGAGGAAACTGAGGCAAACAGAGTAAAGTGACTTGTCCAGGGTCATAGAGCTAGTAAGTGTCTGAGGTCCTGCTCTATCCACTGTGCCACCTACCTGCCCCACAAGACCCAAGTCAGCTTCTCTGTTTTTATCTCCATGGCAGAGTAGGAAAGGTCTTCTTACAAAGGCAGCCATCATGCTCCCTCTTAAGTCTTCCTCCAGAGTTCCAGTAGCCATTCGACGACCATCTGTCAAGTTTTCTGTAGGTGGAATCCTTCACGTAATTTAGGCTGACCCAGAAAGGTCCCATTTGGCTCTTCAAATGTGTAGTTGCTTGATTTAATCTCCTTCAGCCCTTCAGGGAATATCGCCCAGAAGTTCTGAATCTCTGTCCCATCTGCCCAGAAGGAATGTTGCCCCCAGATCCGAGGAGCAGCTTTCCCACTCAGGCATGTTTACTGTTCTTTTTCAGTGTCATCCCAGTGGCTGTCTCATTGACCTTTGCCTGCAGATGAGTGTCATTATGGTTCTAAAGCAGACGTGGAACAACTTCATGGAATTGGGATACCCGTAAGCACGTTTGCTTCTCTTCTTGAAGCAATGCCTTATGTTCTGGAATGGGGAAGTCACCTCTCGCTGAAGTCAACCACTTTTAGGGAAGAGAGCCTTGCAGTCTTCAATGAACCCAATGGATCTGACCTTACAGGGACTTCACAGGGAAAAAAAAAATGAATAGCTATTTCATCTTTAAAAGAAAACAATGAGAATCAGACCTGGAGATGCGTTTGGTTACCATTTGTTTTCACAACAGGAAGATCGATGAGGAAATGTGGTTTTCCGTGGAATTCTGTTTCTATCCATTCCCTTACATTTTCATTGCTTCTGGGTGCTGACATGCAGATGTTTTAATGAACCAGATCATGTACCATCCACTAAAATAAATTCTCTTTCAGCATGTAGTATATATAATGCAATGTGCTATAGAAGCTTTAGGGACCAACTGAGCAAAGTTACATGTAGACCAGGTTTTGGGGGAGTAGTTGAACTGAGGAATACCAGATCCTCTTAGTTCTTGACATAAAAAGCTCAGGTAGGCCCATCAAATGATATTTGGATTCCTTTCCCTTATTTCTCAAGCTGCTATGTTGTTAATGTGATGCAGTAAAGAAATAGCACATTCTCCGGAGTCAAAGGACCTGGGTTTGAATTCCACTCTGATACTTAGTTTGACCTTGGGCAGGTCACCTAATATTCTTGTGCTTCAGTTTCCTTATTAGTAAAATGAGAGGGTTGGACTAACCTCTGAGGCTTCTTCCAGCTCTATATCAGAGAATTTATGAATCCAGTCCCATTCAAAAACCATTTATTAAGTGCCTTAGGCAAGGGGGATACACATTCAAATTCGTAGAATGAAAGAGTCCCTATTCTCTTTTTTTTTTTTAAGGCAATTGGGGTTGAGTGACTTGCCCAGGGTCACACAGCTAGTAAGTGTCAAGTGTTTGGTCTGAGGCCAGATTTGAACTCAGGTCCTCCTGACTTCAGGGCCGGTGCTCTATCCACTGTGCCACCTAGCTGCCCCAAGAGTCTCTATTCTCAAAGAACTTCTTTTTTTTAGCAGGGGGCAGGGTGGAGGGCAGAGTTGAGATACAACATGTTAACATGTAACTATACCATATGTCAGCATCTTGGAAAAGGCATTAGGGGTCCTCTTTATTGGAAATTCACTCTAAAACAGGCCACAGGGTGCCACATATTCAGTTCGTCATAGAAATATTTTTGTCTAAATGGCATGAAGATCAATATGAGGACCCAGAGGGTGGGTGGGGGGCTCAGTTCAGGAAGAGAAGGCAGGGCCCCAGGGGAACACAGAGGACCATAATCAGAATTGGGTGGCATGGTGACATCCGAGGTAACCACCAGGGCTGGGATCTAGAACACCGGGCCTGACTTCCATCATGAGCATGAACATTCCCAGAATCACATCTGCCTAGGACACTATTCCCATTGCTAAACAATCACTTAGGCACGATTTCTAAAGCCCCATGGTCTTCTCTTATAGATTGTTCCATAACTGGTGGACCCAACATAAAATTAAAAGGAATGAGCAGGTGATGAAGTTACCACAGTGGGAAAAAGATTGGAATCTACAGCCCATGAATCTCCATGGATTGATAGATGAATACTTGGAAATGGGTAAGGATGTATGCTTAAGCTGTCAAGATGTAAGACTTTCTGCATTAGATTAGGAGCAGGCTATGGGACTATCTGGGAAGTATGTTATGTACTGATAGCAGATTCGATACTTATTGTGAACACTAATTCTGTTAAGTCACGAAAGAATCAGGCACATCAAACAACATTTGCTTGTTCATTTGAGGTATTCTGAAATTCTGGTCCTTTTAGTTTTTGCAACCTGAGATTACAGGGAGAGACAACTTGGGACAGTAGATAGTGAGCAAAACTTGAAGCCAGGAAGATCTCAGTTCAAGGCCCACTCTTGGCACGTTTGACCTTGAACCGAAGCTCTCTGTTGTGCTCTGTACGACTTGGTCAGAGACTGAGAGAAGATGCCGGCATGGACTGGTAGAAGGAGTCTCCCCTACTGCTGAAATGACAAGCCCTGCCTCTACGTTCTAGTCTATCCTTAGGATTGATTTTGGTTTTGTTTTGGCTGCTTGCATGCTACTGTTATTTCATGTGGAGTATAATGGAAATAATAACCGATTTAAAACTAGAGGGCCCGGTCCCAAAATCCAACCCGGCCATGTGCTGGTTGAGTGAGCTTGGCCAAGTCATTTCAAGCCTTTGCAGCTTAGTTTTCTGTCCATAAAATGAGGGGATTGGACTAGATAAAATCTATGGTTTCCAGCTCTAAATTTATGATCTTATGATCTCTAAGGCCGACTGCTTAGAGATCTCATTGTCCACTAAAACTCCCCATCTTTTGTGTAGTCAAAGCTGTCCCCGATCCCTGCTCATCCAACTGTTTGTCTGCATTTTTTTTAATCTTAGGGTGATAATCTTGTTTCAATCTTTTAATCAGTGTAATTCTGTAGTTATAGGCAATTCACTTAACCTCTGTTGATCCCATTCGCTCTTTGGTGAATTCAAAGAGTTGAACCAGACCATTGTTGTTCAGTCATTTTTCAATCATGTCCTACTGTTCATGACCCCATTTGGGGTTTTCTTGGCAGAGATACTGGAGTGGTTTGCTATGTCCTCCTCCAGCTCATTTTATAAATGAGGAAACTGAAGCAAACAGGGTCAAGTGACGTGCCCAGGGTCACACAGCTAGTAAGTGTCTGAGACTGAATTTGAACTCATGAAGATGAGTCTTCCTGACTCCAGGCCCAACATTCTAGCCACTATAACATTTAGCCGCCTCCAGAATCAGACTAGTGATTAATAATCTTTTTTTAGTATAAGGATTCTTTTTATTTTTTTTTATTTTTTTAAATGAATTTATTTTTAGTTTTCAACAATCACTTCCATAAGCGTTTGAGTTTTAAATTTTCTCTCCCTCCCTTCCCACCTTCCTTCCCAAGATGGCGTGCAATCTGATACACCCTCTACATATGCATTCCTATTAAACATATTTTCACATTAGTTATGTTGTGAAAAAGAGTTAGAACCAATAGGAGGAACCACAAGAAAGAAGAAACAAAACAAAACAGAAGAAAAAAAAGAGCAAATAGTATGCTTCAGTCTGCATTTAAACTCCATAGTTATTTCTCTGGATGTGGACAGCATTTTCCATCATGAGATTTTTAGAGATGTCTTAGATCCTTGCATTACTGAGAAAAGCTAAGTCTATCAAAGTTAGTCATTGCACAACGTGGCTGTTACTATGTACAACATTCTCCTGGTTCTGCTCACTTCACTCTCCATCAGTCCATACAAGTCTTTCCAGGTTTTTCTGAAGTCAGCCTGCTCATCATTTCTTATATCACAACAGTATTTCATTACATTCATACACCATAACTTGTTCAGCCATTCCCCAATTGATGGGCATCCCCTCAATTTCCAATCCTTTGCCACCACAGAAAGAGCTGCTACAAATAATTTTGTACATGTGAGTCCTTTTCTCATTTTTATGATCTCTTTGGTATACAACCCTAAAGTGCTATTGCTGGGTTAAAGGCCATGCACATTTTTATAGCCCTTTGGCCATACTTAAGGATTCCTTTTAAAAAATATTTTTAAAGCAAACCCTCTACGACATAGTTGCATTATTAATATATGTTGGTTAATATTAACATAATAATTATTTTTAAAAACTATTGAGAATTTAGTAACATATAAATTAATTAGTATTTATTAATCACATCCATGTTTATCATGTTATGTGTTAATTATAGTATAGTATATAATATATTACTCACATCTATCACATTTATTAATCACATTTATGAACATTTGAAAAATAGTATTATATACATATATACATGTGCCTACACAAAGAAATACATTTGATTATACAAGAAGCAGACTAAAAGAGTAAACAGAGGAGTCAGGAAGGCTTGGTTTAAAATTCTTTCCTCTGTCATATACTACTTTTGTGACCACGGACACCTCCTAAACTATGCTCTACATTATAGATGAGTGTCAAAAAAATGAATGAATAAAAAGCACTTATTAAGTGCTTACTATGTACAAAGCACTCTGCTAAGCCCTGAGGATTCAAATAGAAAAGAAGAATAGTCTCTACACTCAAGGAGCTCACTTTTTGATGGGAGAAACAACACATATACTCTGCATAGATAAAGGGAATTTTCACATTTAGAATTCTTTCCATTAATGAAATGATAGATAAATAGGTAGATAGATACATACACACATATACATTCATACATATATATTCATATACATATATACATACAAATATGTATATGTATATGTATATGTGTGTATGTGTATGTGTGTGTATATATATATATATATATAAAATATGTATGTTAACCAAAAGTCCTGATTCCATGAGACGTGTAGAAACTGGATGTATTCCAAGATAAATGAATATGCATGTGAACTCTTTATACCAAGTACAAAGGCATCTTCAATATGGGTATAACACATATATGTAAGTAGACATGGCTATATGCATAAATATGTGAATATATACATATGTATATATGCTTAGTAGATAACGTTGTGTATATCCATACATAGACATAAATGAATATTCACTTGCATTGTTTTGTGTGTACATAGACATATATACTCATATGTGCATACATATACTTGTATAGTTTAAAAATAGTTCTGAGCCATGCTGCAGTTAATAGTCAAAATGATAAAACCAGGTGCATTTAAGGATTCATGGACCCCTTATAATAAGCGTACAGCCTCTGAAAGGTCTGTAGCCCACAAATTGGGAATCATGCTATGAGATTGTTTCTAAGGTCTTCCAGCTTGAGAAATTTGTTTGACTTACTCCATCTGTTTTCTCAGCCACCCCAGATCTGATGTCATCTTCTTCTTCTTCTTCTTTTTTTTTTTTGGTACAGTTTTACAGTTTGGCTTCGTCACCATCTTTGTGGCAGCTTTCCCTCTGGCCCCACTCCTGGCCCTGATGAACAACATCATTGAAATCCGACTGGATGCCTACAAATTTGTCACTCAATGGAGAAGACCTTTACCTGCAAGGGCAACCAATATAGGTGAGTGTGTGTAATTAGAAACTGCTCTGTTGATGAACCAAATCTTCAGTCGCATCTCAATATATCACTGGGTGTGCTTCATTGACTTGTGCCCCCAAGCATGGAAACAAAGGTCAGAATTATTGGTAAACAGCCAATGGATTCTCCCAACTGTCTGAGTTGAAATTGTCCATTTGGAGAATCTGCTATCTAGCTCTTGTCTCTCCCAGCCCTTGACCTAATGTATCAAAAAGTGAAAAATTCAATCCACTGTCCAGTCAAACTGTTGCCCATGGACATATTCCAAAGAGAGTTAAACCTGTAAATAACTGAAGGTATCAAGTTCTAATAATAATAATAATGATACGTAAAGACATATAAATACTTTAGGAAGAAGTAGACATTTCTTCAAAGAGTAATAGTCATGACTGAATAGCATTTATACATTATTGGATATGTTGAGTGTTGCTGAAAATATTTTGCCTCTGCCTGGAGCCTGTTTTAACAACTAAGATCCAAGAGTGGAATTAAAAGCCTCCCATGGCCAACAGCCTTGTCAACTCAACCAACAATATATTGAGAGCGGAACAAATGGCAGAATTGATGTTTATAGAAAAGAAAGGGTTTTTTACAGGAATTCAGACCTTGGTCATCACCAGAAATTTAAAAGGGTTATGCTTAAGGAATCTGAATTTATTAATTAATGTAATTAATGAAAGGAAATGTTGGAAACTGCCCTACGCATCATTGTAGGCTGGGAAAATCAAGCACCTACTAAAATATCAAAGAAGATATAAACTGGTGACTAGAATTACACATCACAGGCTTGGTTGCTTCCACAAACTAACAGACAAAAAAACCTTATACTACATATATAAACCCAAAATTATCCTTAAGAATTGAAGAAATAGACTATAATGGAATTACAGTATTATCACAGAGAATAGTTACCCACAATTGACCCACATGTGACACTGATCCACAAAAAATTAACAACTTTTTTTTTTTAAGTAGGCTGGGCAAGTCACTGATATGCCACCATGCCAAATGTTCGCAATCTTCAAACCATATGAAATATGCAAAACTTTCAAAACATTAAGACCTAGCTGAAGAAACCGAAGTCAGATGGGAACAGAATGAGGTCACCATAATCATCTAGTCTCCTATAGGGGTAGGCTCAGATATGTCTTTAAAGAGACTGCAGAAGATGAACTTGCTTCCCAATGGAGGGGTTATGTTCTGTTAGAATAACTAGTTGTTTTATACACGTGTGTAGTAGTCCACAGAGCGTTAAACATACAAGAATAATCACAACATAATGACTTGTTCAGGGATCATTTGTGTATGAATTATATCAAAAAAAGATGAGAAAATAAAATAATAATAATAGCAGCAGCAGCTCACATTTCTATAGAACTTTTAAAAAGTTTAGAAATGTCTTTCCTTGTAACAACCCTATGAGATTGGTACTGAAAGCATTCTGATCCTTGCTTATTCCATGAATTAGAGTTCATGTCCTGGCTGTATTAATGCTGTCTGTGTGACCTTGGGCAAATCACTTACAATCACTAGGCTTCATTTACATCCACTATAACATGAGTAGATTGGGTGATCCTATTTTCTTGAGACAAAGATACCCTGGTGTGTTGGGAGAGTAGGCCTACATGAGCTACGACATTGAGGAAGAGCATAATAGCTATGTTCAAATATCAGAAGCGGTATTAACTATAAGTGATAGCTAAGTGGCACATTGGAGAGAGCACCCAGCCCAGAGGCAGAAAGAACTGAGTTCAAACCTGGCCTCAGACACTGACTCTGGGCAACTCACTTAACCCTTTTGATCTCAGTTTTCTCATCTGTAAAATGGGCTGGAGAAGGAAATGGCAAACTGCTGCAGTATCTTTGCCAAGAAAACCCCAGATGAGGTCACAGGAGAGTCAGACACAACTGAAATGACTGAACAACAACAACAAATTAACTACAAAAGAGATTTTATATAGATATAGATACATAGATATTAGATATATTCGTATAGCTCTTAAAGGGCAAAAGTCAAATCAGGAGATGCACAATACAGGGATTCAGGATACCTTTGTCCCCTATCCTCAGTGCTCTCCACCCCTTTCAGCTTCCTTTTATATGTTGTCTTTTTCCATTAGATTGTAAGCCTCTTAAGGGCAGGGCTTATCTTTTTATTTTTATTTATGTTCTCTACACTTAGCACAGTTGCAGGCAATATAGTAAGCACTTGATAAATGCTCATTTACTACTTTATGGATAAGGAAACTGAGGCTTTGAGAGATAAATGAATTTGTTTAAAGTTAGCTTGTCAGATAGCTTGTAAGTTTTGGAACTGGAATGGAAATTCAGGTCTCTTGACTCTCCAGTCACTGTCTCTGTGTATCTCTCTTTGTCTCCCTGTGTCTAAGTCAGTCTCTCTCTGTATCTCTTTCTGTCTGTCTGTCTCTGTCTCTCTCTGTCATACTCACACACACACACACACACACACACACA